GGGCGGGATATTTCCGACTCGCCTTGCAAGAGAAGCTCCCCGCGTAAGACGCAGAGGCAGGGAGGGTTGGCCCCGGGGCGACCCCCACCCCTCACTCCCGGCCCCAGGGACGGCTTCTTTGGGAGTCGATCGCAGGGGTGGTTGCCCCGTTTCACAGAGGAAGAAGCAGAGCCTCTGAGAGAAACGACAGTTTCCGATTGGTCTCAGGGCCCGTCAGGGCAGAGCTGGACCACAGCTCTCGTCTCCAACCTGCTCCCCATCCCGCCACCAGCTGAGATTAGATCGCTCAGACCAAGATGGGAAGGGATGCTGCTGGGACACCTTGGTCCCCCACCCCCTGGTAACTGCATTTTAAGGAAGAGAACAAGCCAGGCGTGGTGGCTCATGCCTGTCATCCCAGCACTTTGGGAGGCCCAGGCGAGTGGATTGCCTGAACCCAGGGGTTCGAGACCAGTCTGGACAATTTGGCAAGACCTTGTCTCTACAATAAGTTTTTTAAAAAAATTATCTAGGCGTGGTGGTGCGTGCCTGTGGTTCCGGCTACTTGGAAGGCGGAGGGGGAAGGATCATCTGAGGGCCCAGCAGGTCAAGGCTGTGGTGAGCGTGCCATCGCACTCCAGCCTGGGTGACAGAGTGAGACTCCGATTCAAACACACACACACACACACACACACACACGGTAGTCGTGGTGGTGCACATCTGTAGTCCCAACTACTTGGGAGGCTGAGGCCAGAGGATCGCAGGAGTCCAGGAGTTTGAGGCTGCAGTGAGCTATGATCATGAGATCTTGGGGGTAGGGGTTTCTCCTGGACCACAGCTGGGAAGGCTTGCCGAATGCACATTGGTCTATTCCTGCAGCTCCCCTCGCCCCCCTCCCCCTTGAGGGCTGCATTCCAGAGCCCAGCTGCCTGCAGGCCCACTCCCTGCAGAGGTCCAATGGCCATCTCGAACTCAGTTCGGCCATAGCAGGGAGCCACCCCCTCACCCCAGGTGTTCCCCAGCCCCACAGCCTGCCAACTGCTGGGTCACTTTTGACCCCTGTCACCACTCCATCAGCTCTGCTCTGATTTCTGTTTATTTTATTTATTTATTTATTTATTT